GCCTTGTAAAGTTGCAAGCGATGTTCCGCTATGAAATAGGTACTGTCTCGCTCTGCTGAGCACGCCAAGCTTTTTAGAGGCCAATTTGGCCTTCCCTTCTAAGTGATCACGAAACTGAGCACTGCACTGAAGTTATTCGAGCTTCGTTATTCTATTGTTTATATTGTTTTAAGTTACGAATTGAATTCCGTATTTTCGAGTATAGTTAAAAATTTTGTCATTCTCTGATAATAAAGGAAGTTAAGTCTAAACTTAACTTTTGTTATTATAACTAGAATTTCGAAGTTTGTTTACTGCATACTACTTATATTATATAGGTAGTACTGTGAAATTCACGGCGTGCGCTTAACCCCTGGGCTACAAATTATTCCGAATTGGAGTATTTTACCATTATCCTTCACTTAAAATGTGTATTTCTCTTTAGTATCACTGTCGGGAAACGACCACACCTCTTCTTGTATAAGAAAAGTGTATTATATACATTTTATTACTTTGAAATAAGATTCATGTTTGTAATTGTTGCGTTAATATTTTATAATAACAAAAAAGTAAGCGGTGCAGTGTAATGAATATAAATAATAAATAAGGCATACGACATCTCGAGGAGCGAAGCGGGCGCTGGTTCGTCGTCGCGTAGGTGCTCCCGCGGGACAGCCGCAGTAATTCCGATATTGTGAATATTATACTCGCTGCTTTCTCACGTACCCTTTGTGCATTCACCCCCCGCTGCTGACGCGTGCACAACACATTGATGAAAATTATCTTGCTTGTTTGTGTTTAAGTATAATTTTCATATAAATATTATATATATATATATATATATATATATATATATATATATATATATATATATATATATATATTTATTACTTTTTCGATAATAAACCAACTTTAAGAAGAATCGTTGCCGATTTTATTGTAATGTTTAAGGTAACACTTTGTAGTATTGACGATTATAGTTTATATCACGTAGTAGAGCCATGCTCCAGCACGAATGGCTCGACTCGACCAGAGTAGGATCACGCTCTCACAGAATACCAACGTAAAATAGTAGCTCAAAGCTGTTGTGTTTCGTATATTGAGTGTAGAGGACCGGAGACCCTTTTCACCGAAGACGAAGTATTCCATCTCAGTCCTCAGGGGTGACAATGCATCTACATTTTTTTCTACATGATTCTTAATTGAGAATAAATGTAGATGTCTATGGGCCACAACATCCACTTACCATCAGGTGAACTGTGTACTCGTTTCTAACCCTTATTCTATAAAAAATATCATCCAGTTATTAAAATTAATGTTATATAATTATTTAAGATATGACTTGGCGACTGCAGCCCATGGACAAATGGATTTAACTGCTTTGTCACCTTGAGTACTAAAGTACAATGTTTCTGGCGATGCCATTAATCTGTTATTATACTGTTTTTTAACGATAAAAGTTACAAAGCCTATGAGTGAAGTATAGTATTTTGATTTGTTTAACCAAAACTTGAACAAATTTAGTTGTCTTTGGAACGAAGTGCCTTATCGGATGGTACGGGTTCTGCGGTTGGCAACTAGGCGACAAAAAGTGTAAGATTTTTTCGTCACTACCCCTTGTGTCATAGTGTAGACTTGAGTGAAGTGGAAGTGAGATGGAAAAATATCCATCTCCGTCGCACTTTTTCTTATCGTGCCACGAAAGAAATATTATTTTATTTCAAATGACGCTTCATTTTAATAGAGGCTAGTAATTCATTTATTTGTATTTGTTAATCAATAATATACCTACGTTTATCAATAATAATATACTACGCAAGGAACTTCGTTCCAACCAAGTGTGCCACGACACTCACGCATTTTTTTATTTTACATCTTATATTTAATATATTATTATATTAATATTTATAATTACGTATAAAAATGATAAATAAAAATAAAAATATAAAATATGAAATCAAGAAAGCAAAGAAGAATTAAAATAGGTTATGTCAGTAGTTATTAGTTAGATAATATATTATATTAAAACATACGAAAATAAAAAATCATAAAAATTCTACTGATACGAGGGTGGATTGAAAAGTACTCGGCCTAACCAAGAAAATAAACAAATACTAAATCAGTTATATTTTTATTTTTCTACATAATCACCATCAAGTTCAATACACTTTTGCCACCTCCCCTTCCAAGCATTTAGACCGTTGAAAAAAAATGATTCTTCCTTAGAGTCAAAATATGCGTCTACAGCTGCTTTGCCCTCGTCGTTTGTCGAAAATCTTTGACCTCCCAAGTGCTTTTTTAGGTTAGGGAACAGAAAGAAGTCTGATGGTGCCAGATCAGGTGAATACGGCGGATGCGGTAACAGTTCAAAGCCACAGTTGTGAATTTCAGTCATTGACTGTATTGACGTGTGAACACGGGCGTTATCTTGATGAAACAGGACTTTTCTTCTGATCATTCCTCGACGTTTTTCTTTTATTTCCTCTCGTAAACGACGTAGTAAGGTGCAGTAGTAATCAGAGTTTATATTCTGACCCCTTTCAAGATAATCAATCATAATCACACCTTTCGAGTCCCAGAATACTGAAGCAATCACCTTATTTGCCGACAAAATCGACTTAGCCTTTTTAGGGGGTGGTGAACCAGGTCTTCTCCACTGTTTTGATTGTTGTTTTGTTTCCGGTGTACAGTAATGAACCCATGTTTCGTCCATAGTAACAAAACGATTCAAAAAATCATCTGCATCGGCTTCAAATAACTCCAAACAGTCGCGTGAAATAGTCAATCGCGTCCTTTTTTGTTCAACTGAAAGCAGTCGCGGAACCCACCTCGCAGACACCTTGTGGAAACCCAACTCGTTGACAATGATGTTTTGAGTTCGTTCATAAGAGATGCCTATAATCTCGGCTATCTCTCTAATTTTTAATCTGCGGTCTCCCATTATTAAATCAAGTACTTTTTTAATATTTTCGTCAGTAGTTGACGTCGAAGGCCTTCCAGAGAGGGGTTCATCTTTCACACTCTCTCTACCACGCTTAAATTCTGCTATCCATTTTTTGACAGATAAATATGACAGAGCACAATCGCCTAATGTACTGACCATGTCATCATGGATGGCTTTTGATGATAGCCCCTTCTTATGGAGGTACTTAATGACGGCACGCTGCTCGATTTGCTCCATTCGCGGAAATTATGTCCGATTACTTTGTTAATAAATTTATAAAATCACAACTAATTATCGCACACGTTTCGAACTTCACACAATGAACTAGTCTGAACTGAACTATATAATGTGGGTAGATTTGATTTTTAGAATTGAATGGATCTGTGTTAGGCCGAGTACTTTTCAATCCACCCTCGTAGTTTTTATCTCCTTGTTTAAGTTGGGTTCCAGTTCCCAGGGCATTATTTGCAGGTGAGTTAACAGACCTATGTCCAGCAGTGGACTTGTAAAGGGCTCCTAATGATGATGAGTTAACACGTCATCAAAATAGTGGCTGTTTTGTTACAATTTTTAGCAATATACGAAAAAGGTGGCTGCAAAGGTGAGTAAGATTAAACTTTAAACATATTGCCCGGCCTTCATTCAGATTTAGACTTAAATTATGACTGTAATATTTAACTTTTTGTTAAGTTAAAACTAAGGGAATTGAATTTGATAATCTAAAAAAAAAATTTTATAGGACAAGGATGACAAACGAGCACACAGTCCACCTGATGGTAAGTGGTTGCTGTGGCCCATAGACATCTACATCTATCTTCGTTTGCGAATTAAAATGCAACGCATCTTGTCACCCGTGAGAGCTATGGTGAGTGTAGAGAACCAAAGACCCTTTTTATTGAAAATGAGGCATTCCATCTTAGTCCTCACGGGTGACAACGCATCTGCAGTTTGTTTCTTAATCGAAGATAGATGTAGATGTCTATGGGCCACAGCAACCACTTACCATCAGGTGGACTGTGTACTCGTTTGTCACCCTTATCCTATAAAAAAACTATACCTACTATTAATATAACTGCAGCATGGCTCTACCACGTACCTATAAATTATACGGATAACTTAGATATTTTAAGTACCTAAGTACTTTCCAAGATATCATGGGTTTTATTTAGCTCTTGTCATAATTTACTTCGTTTTACAATTGTTCACTAAAGGTAATTAAAGTACAAGGCATCATTGCCTTAAACTTTAATCGATTTGTAAAAATGTAGCATTTAATATACCTAACATATCCGAAAATCGTGCTTTCTTTAGTTTGTAACACCAACATTTTTGACACCAAATACCATGTGTGAAAAAGGATACATTAAGTAAGTATTATTTAAATAATATACTGAATTGGATTGTTTTTTAATATATTTATTCATTACATTTTAATAAGAAGGCACGATTTTCAGACATGTTATATGTGTGTTTGATTTTTTTAATTAATAATAATAATATTTAAAACAGTAGCACTAAGATACAGAGAGTTTATTTAATAAATGAAGGAAAAAATATTATATATTCTCAATAATATAAACTGCAATTGTGATTACAATTAAAAAGAACATCCGTTAATTAAGCGTGTACCTGGATTAATTACAATTTTTTTTATTTTCCTCAATGACAAAGGAACTGTCGACGAAAAGAAAAGTAGACAAGTGTCGTGACTTGCACCCTGAGAGAGCGAGCAAGCGAATAAGCAACCAATCGCGGGACCGGGCTGGGGTGCGCTCGCGGCCATTGGCCTGCCCGGGGGTGTGCGCCCCGCCCCGGCCTCCGGACTCGCCCTTATTGAATTAGGCTTATCATTCGATTTCGAGTGGGGCAAGCGCACGGTTCTCCGCGGTAAAAAACTCTCCAATACCGTCTCTAATCGGCGTAATTCGATATAGTTACCACTCATTCAATTATGACTGTATGAACTGCCTTGCGCATCCGTGAATTACGGAATAACCCGCGAACGCGCCTGCTACTGACGGTCGACGTCACGCGTGAGCACATGTCAGGGAGTGCATCGGTGAGATAGCCCGAGAGTATGGAGTACGGGTACTTGAGCGGCGCCGGCGGCGGCTTCGAGAGCGGCTGCCTGGGTTCTGGTGGCGGTGAGCTGGCGTGGGGCGAGCTCGCCTCATGCGGTCAGATGTCGCAGGCCGCCTACCGCTACCAGGGCATGCGCTATCAGCCGCCGCCGCCGCAGTGTGCGCGCCCGCAGGATGCTGCCATCAGGAATCATCACATATTTCCACCAGCGATGAACTTACAACGTAAGTAACCGTAGAACTAGACTCAACACACTTTTGTTCAGCCAAATGTTAATCACTCGCATGCTTGTTTTGGTAAACAGCATACTTTTAAGATCTTTAACTTGCTTAAACTTCCATAATTTACAAAAGTGTTCATTAGGCAGAAAGTGACACAACATTACTATTTAAAAATGTATTTATTGCTTTTCGAAGTATTCTCCGCGAAATTTGACACATTTTTCCATACGATGGAACCAATCATTGAAGCAACCTTTCCATTCGGAAGTTGGGGTCTCCAAAATGGCCGTTTTGTAGGCGTCCACAGCTTCTTCAGGTGATGAAAATCTCTGTCCACGCAATTTATTTTTTATTTTAGGGAAAATCATTAGGGCTTAGGTCGGGGCTGTACGGCGGATGGTCTAAAAATTCTATGTTTTCTTGCTCTAAAAACTCTTTTGTTCTGTGTGCGGTGTGAGAACTCGCATTGTCGTGATGGAGGATGATGCGGCGGTTGCAGTTCTCTTTACGGAGTTAAAAAACGACCTGTGGCAAACAAATGCTAGCATACCATTTTGCATTAACCGTTCTTTGTCCCTCAAGAGGAATAGTCGTAGCATGGCCGGTTTTGGAGACAAACGTGGCCACCATTTTTTTTTGCAACACTCCGTGAACGAATTTTTGTTGGCTTTAACTCATTTTCGAACACCCAAACCCGTGACTGGTTTTTTGTTTCGGGTTCGTACGCGTATATTCAGAATTCGTCACCTGATACGATGTTGTATACAGTATTTGAGGATCCTGCGTGGAATCTTTCGAGAGTTCTGACGCACCAAGTAACGCGAGCCGCTTTTTGCTCTTCACAGAGCGAATGCGGTATCCACCGGGAAAACAACTTTTTTACACCTAATTGTTCATGCAAGATTATTTGTATTTGACTCATGCGAATGTCTAAAGTTGCCTGAATTTCGCGGTATGTCACATGTCGATCTTCCTCAATCAGCTTACGCACAGCATCAACGTTTTCTTGGGTGACTGCAGTTTTTGGACGACCTTGACGGGGATCATCACTGAGCTTGACACGTCCACGTTGAAATTCAACAAACCAGCGATAAATTGTGGTTTTGGAAGGGGCTTCATCACCAAATGCAGAAATCATCCGGTCAACACGCTGTTTTTGTGTTAAACCACTTCGAAAGTCATAATAAATCATCGCTCTTGAATTTTCTCGAGTCGATTCCATTTTCTCAACGACTAAACAAGTTTGACAAAACCTTGTCACAAGACCGAGAATCTTTTTTTTTAATAAATAAATGGTATTCAATTTTAAAAAACCAAGGACTTTACAATTAAAAAGATTTTAATATGACAGGAACAGTGGAAATATTCCATTCCTGATACTTTTAGTGCAGCCTATGTATTTCACATGCTGGAAGAGCGTTTGAGTTTAAACAGTAGATACCTAACTATAATTTCGGATGGGTATTACTTGGTCAAATATTTTGTATATTATGGAATAATAAAATAATATATACCTTCTATGTATAACTTTATTTGTTTTGTCAAACTTTATGATTTCATTGAGCCTATTTTTACTTTATGCTTGACATGAATGTCATCTTAATTGAATGATACCTGTATGTATAAATGTTTATACAATAAATATCGGTTCGAATTACATTTTGATACACATACAATTATTTTCCGACAGAGAAAAAAGGTCGCATGTCTTATGATGTATAGGCCCAGTTCTTACTACGTAGCGTTGTAGAACACTAAGATTTGTAGACACTATAAGTATGCTACGCCCGTAGCGTTGTAGCATTGTACAATTTGAAGCGTTCGTATTGCCTGCATGTGCTGCTAGTCTTATTTGTTAAAACATTTGCGCTTTTTTTTGATAATATTTTTAAAAGGGTGTTTTGGACTCATTTATTTTTATTTTATTTCTTATTTGGAGAGACGGTATGCAGCCTAACACACATAAATCATTTTTAGAGGAGCGCTTAGCCGTATTAATACATTTAATTAAAAAAAATGCGGTTTATGCATATCTATATACCTATATGTTATCTATATATTTTTTGGATTGAATCGTTAATACTTTTCATTAGATGCCAAACAAGATATATTAAGTCATCAACAATTAAATTTTTTTTGGCTAAACTTAAGATCCGCAATAAGCCGCCATGTTGGATTTTACTTGACGTGGCCTATAACCTGCGGAAGAGCATGGCACTTCTAATAATACCTTATTTGTCAAAATACGGTGAGTAGTTATGAAAATCTGAGGGAACAGATGAACAATCATACATACACACAGACATATTAACTATTATAAGGCACTGTTTGAGTACTGTCCCATCTGATGGTAAGTGGTGATGCAGCTGAAGATTGTAAAGCGCACTGACTTAGCCTAACGTAAGTCTATTCACTCTTACTAAAATAGAAATAGACTACTAAAATCACAACGCTCCTTTTGCTTTCGCCCTAGGTAGGTAATCGGGGGGTATCTTTCCGAATTATTATTTTAGAATATAAAAATCTAATGAAAGAAGCCTTAACAGCGGTTGCCTATACGTAAGAGTGCAAACTTCTACAGAGATTAAAATATTTCTTAGCATATTTACTTCACAGTCGTGCACGTCAGCACTTCAAAATACAAATCATAGTGTAAAGTGATTTAATCTTAGTTTAGTTAATTTTTTGGCGTATTTTAGGCCTTGGCTACTATCATATTTGATTAACGCTTAGTTACATTAAAAACCAAACACTCATACTGAAATGATTCAATGATCGTGACCCATAGGAGGCCGATTATACCGGTATAATTATTTGTACGTTTGGCGATAAACGATCTGATCTAATGGACCAAGGATATGTAGGTAAAGGTCAATACACGCTGGAGCTGAATGGTAGGTTTTTTTCTGCTCCATAAGCCTATGCAGAAATGAGAGGAAGCCTATGGTCGGTCATAGGACTTTATGTACTCGAAAATTCGAAAAGCAAAAAAAATAATAATCTGAATTTTTTTTTGGAATGACAAGTGTATTAATTATGTGTGTTATAGGTCACTTTATTCAAATACATTCTCTAAAATAAATATTTGCATAATGATTAAACTCATCGAAAATATACTTAAAATGTAAAAAATGTAGAATTATATAAAATAGCTAACTGTTCGTTAGTTGGAAACTGTCTGTATAGAACATTGCTCAAAATGACATTGGACACGTATGAAATATTTACAATAATTGTTGATGCTGTTTTAAGCTTTACTACTATTAATACTCAACGGAAAATTCGGACGGATAATTTAGTAAACATTTCAGAGAGTGGCTTCATGACTTTTTTCGTATTTCAGGCACCACATGTAAAGGAAACCGGAAATAAAATACTTTGTTATCGAGTCAGACATCTTCCCCAATAATTACTTTTATAATTTCTATTAGTAAAGTTAATATTTTAATAAATTATTTTGTTACATTAAATTATAATATAGTTACTTAGTCTTATTCAAACTCCAGAACAGGCTAGACGCCTTTACATCCAATCATATTACGGAAGTTACAGAGTCATAAGCGATTTGGTTAATAATATGAATGCTTATAGTTTTATCATTTTTAAATGTTTTATTTAGCAGAGTCGTTCTTGCCCTAAACTCACTGGGTAATCAGAGGTGGCCTGTGTTCGGAAGTAGGATCGTACATAGGCTGTAACTTTAACCCCAAATATTTTATAATATCATATAATATAGTACAATAAAATGTCGTATTTTATAGCAATACTTAGAATAAGTAATTAATAACTGTTTTATACGGTATGTTCTTGTGATTGGCTAGCAGGTAAATAAAGCATTGGCATTGGTCATTTTTATTGGTCTATATATTAGTAATTATTGTAACCTCAAATACCTACTGACAGAATTTTGATATCAAACAATTCTCAGGAGTTTCTACCACTTTTGTTTAATTTCATCTAAGAGTAGTTATTATCAAGTAGAATACAGAAAGTCATTTTTGGGGCAGTTGGTTCTTCTTGTTAGTTGGTTCTTCTGGTTAAATCTTATAATTTATTTATCCTTTGTTGCAAACACCTTCAAATAGGGGTTACAAACACCGCTAATATATTATAAATATAAATGTGTGTCTGCTTGAATGTTTATTTTTACTACATGGAGCTTAAATATGGGTTGGGATGGGATGGGAAACAGATAAAGACTATTTTGAAATTAATAAAAATTAAAACAAATATCTAAAATTTTCTTGTTGATTGTCGCTTTTAGTTGTTTATCAAATAATTAGAAAAAAGAAAAACTCACTGTTGTCACAGGTTACTCTAATACTATTAGAAATTGAGCTCGAAATTTAGCAATGAGAAATACCTATTACAAGCTGAAGAAACAAAACATTTTTTTGACAAAGTTAAAACACCTATTATAGGAGTTCTGAGCACTCAATAATTTAAAAATGTAATCATGTAATACGGTTTTATTTGTACTTCGCAATTAGGTCTACTACATCAAACCATATTCTTACTAATGCAGATAAACTTTTTGTAGTTATTTATTTGACTATACGGCTAACTGTCTCATATTATGGCTACACCATGAATGGGTCGGCTAGACCGGAGTAGGACCACGCTCTTACAGAATACCAGCGTGAAACAGCAGAATAATGATGTGTTTCATATGGTGAGTGCAGAGACCCAAGACCCTTTTCACCGGTAAGGAAGCATTTCATCTTAGTACTCAGGGGTGACAACGCATTTGCATAATTTTACTTAATCGAAGATAATGATGTCTATGGGCAGCAGAATCAACTTATCATAAGGTGAAATGTGTGGTTGCTGGTCACCCTTATTCTATTAAAACACAAGTTATTTAACAAGTAACGTTATAAGTAACTTTTACATCCATTTAAAAACAGTATTTTTTGCATAAAATGAAACCGAAAACATTTAAGAGAATTGAAAGCCTCAAATAATTATCGCTTCTCGTTTCTGTATCGCCAAAGTAAAATCGT